ATAGTCAGAGTTTAGGAAATATTGGGGGGAAAAAAAAACAGCGAGTTTTATATTTAGGAAGTGTCTGATCTTATGCAGCAGGCATAGGTGACAGAAACTGGACCAGTAGATGAAAAGTCTAGGGAGTCATATTTTAACTCAGTAGTGAAAATAGAATAATAGTTCATGCTGCCAAACAATGGAGTGGACTATTTTATGAAGTGAAGTCCTCATAAATAATATCAAGTCAAAGCAGAGTCTGGATGAACAGTTCCCAAAAAAGGTACCCAAAGTGTGTGGATAAGAATTTGCCCAGTGTTGACCATTTAGGTCCACTTAGTGCCTGAAATGATACTATGAAACCATTTATTGATGAAGATAAAAAATGCATTTCAAAAAGCTTTCTTTACTATCTGATATGTATATCCCAGAATGATGTGGGCCGAAGATGACATGAGATATTGGCATCAGGGCAGGGGCGGTGTTATGAAGGAGATACTCACTGAAGATGGTCGTAAGTGCCAGAGCCAAGAACGGGACAAAGGCTGTTGCTCTCGTGGTGCTGAAGTGGCCAAGGGCAGTCAGATGGAGGCAAAGAAAGTCCTTTCTGGTGTCGGCCCAGCCCACTTGGGTGCTGCCTTATATACTCTCAAGAGTTCCTGCCTCAATTGTGAAATAGCTTTTTCCAGAAATGGAATTCTGGTAAGTGGTGAGAAACATCTGATAGGTATGGAAATTCCTTTATTGTCAAAGACAAATGATTTTACATGACATTTTAATAGATAATAGGACCCGATAGAACTGGTGTTATTTCCCTACCTCTTTATGTCCTTAAACGTTTGTGTGCTTTCACATGATTTGGTCATTAAAAAAAAAAATCTGTGGCATAGGTATTACCGTTTTTTCCCCTCTACAGATGAGGAAGTGAAATTACAAGGAAGTAAAATAATTTCACTGCATTTTCTGTTATATTCTTTTTCCAGGAACTGTCATTAGCATGGCAGCCTTATAGGTTTTGCCATTTTCCCAGGTACCCCTCTTTCCTCTTTTCTTCTCCAGCTTCAGATGAGAAATGTTGCCAGTGGAGACCCCAGACTGGGTACAGAGAAAAGGCAACAATACCCAGGTGTTTATTCCACAAACACAAGCAAAAATTCATACTCTTTATCAGGGAGATGGTTTTCCCAAGAATCCCAATTTTGGGGAGATGGTACAACAGGTGGAGCTGGTGAGCACTCACACCACGTTTACCTGGTGTGAGTAAAGCTTTATCAAGGGCCCTTAGAAAGGCCCTCTCAAGGCCAATAACAAAGAGCTCTGTGATCATTTTAACCAAGAATGGATCTAGTGGCTACAATGGCTAGACTATCCCTGAGGCTTTCGCCATGATTCTTTAGTCTCCAGACACAGACTGGTGGTTCAAGAATAAGATGTTAACTTTGCCCTGGGCTATAACTACATAGATGGCCAGTGACATCTTCCATGAATACAATACCTTTCAATAGATAAGCCACCGATCATTTGGCCATGGTTTAAATAAGTTTAATTGTGCTTTCTTCAAACCATGCTTCATTTGAAATCTTTGATGAAGACTACAAGGACACTTATTTTAGAAGTGCCAACTTTCAAACAGAGTGACTCCATGAGACAACCTTGGAAGCATCTCTTGCGGTCTTGCAGAACTGGAAGACGCTGTCTGTATCGCTAATGGAAGTAGTGCCAAAGGCTGGGAGACTAAAATTCACATTTCTTTTCAAAAGGATAAAGACAATTGAAACCAGTGTTGGGATGGTCTTGGAGGTGGGGGAAGGGCAGGCATCTTAATGTTATTGACAGGTGAAACTCTAAAGAGTCTTGCAGACATGAATTTATTGCCAGCTTTATCATTCCCTACATTACCTTGTGCAAGTTATTTAACTGCTAGATGCCTTAGTTTATCTTCGTTTGATCATTTAGTAACTATTCATGAGCGTTTTGTGTGTCTTAGAGACTACATTTCAACTTGAACATACCATGATTAATCAGAAACTTTGCCACTGTCCTCAGTGTAGCTTGACAAAGACTCTCTCCTTGACCACACTTTAGTTAGGCTCCTCTGAGTCCTCTTCTTGACTAGGTCTTGAACTTGCCCTCAGCCTCCCCCAGCACCTCATGTCTTTGGCCTGCCTAGCCCTTAGCATAGGTCTTAGCATAGAACCCTGATTAAGTAATTCTCCTACCATTGGTATTTGATCACCCTTGATTTCTGATCAAGTTCTTCGTCCCTCATCTGTAATGTATAAGCCCTTGGCTGACCTGTGAGAATTCTGTCCATTCAGTTTAGCAAAAATCCTCCTACCCTTGATATCTCCCGTTAATAATTTTCCATCTAGTGACCTGACCTCCTCATTCTGCTCTTTGTCACCCTGATTTGTAGTTAGAGTTGAGCCCCGTCTTTCCTCCTTATTGCAGTAGGGGTACTCAACACTATGCCTTGAACAATGTCTTCCTTACTACTTTAACAAGTGTCAAATAATTTTTCTTTAACAATCTTATAGAATAAATTTATTAACAGCACCATCATCATAAGCCTGCGAGTTCTAAATGAGATTGAGTATACGAAGCATTTTTTTTGGGGGGGTCTCACATATATTAAGCTCTCAACAAACATTAGTATTTGATGACAATGACTATGATAAAGAATAGGATGACGGTGACAATGATCTGGAGGAAACATCCAGAAAGCATTTAGGAACCATCTTAAGGTAAGCAAATGATGTATCTTTGTGGCCTTATTGGAAATAATGGATCTTGGCATGATAGAAAAAAGGAACTTTGTGATGACCAGAGATGTTTGATAATGACTAGAGGTAATGAGAATCTTCTCATTTTAAGTGTCCCATTGGAGGCCAGGTGATTAACTTTCAGGAACCCCACAGAGGTGACTCCTTGATTGAATGTGAGAATAGCCTCTATCCACATTTTTCCCCCCAAAATAGTCATAAGTAAGCTTTCATAACTAAAAGAGTCCAATACTACAAACAAATTAAGCTTTTAATATGTAAGACACTCTCAACATAAAGAATTTGTCTCAATACCCACATTACCCAAGCTAGAAACTAGAAATCTGACCACCGTATGCATAACTACATGCCATTAAATGTCTTCGTCTCTCTCATTAAACATTTCCAATTAATTACTGTGTCTTTGCTAACTATACATACAAAAATCAGTTTCTTATGTCTATCACCTTTGCTATGAAATTTATTGATGCTGACAAAAGCTCTAATGTGGAGGGTTGTGCAGTACAGGTACAAGATTATAGGGACTTTCACTAGAGTTAAAAGTGATTAGATTTTGCAGATATTTTAACAGAGGAGTTGACCGGGCCTGCTACTGGATTAGGTGTGGAGTTAGAGAAAGAGAAGAATCATGGAAGCCTCTGACGCTTTTGGTTGCAGCAACTGCTGGACGGTGGTGCCATTTCCTGAGACGGGGGCTGCTGCTGGGGGAGCAAGTCAAGCAGCTGAGATTAAGAGTTCGGTTTCTGGTATAAGCATGGTGGGCGTTCAACATATATTTTTACGAATTGAGAATCTGCGTTCAGTAATTAATTCCTATGAATTTTTTTTTCAAGTTCTGTGCCTTTAGATCGTCTCTTTTCTCTTTACCTGGAATTACCTGTCCCCTACCCAACCCTACTCTGATGAACTGCAATTCAAAAGGGGCTTTCCTCAACACTCCAGGCTGAATTTGTGTCGCTGACCTCTGTAGCATCCTGGCGATTTAGACATGTTTATGAAATACTAACCATGAATCAAGCATCACACTAATCACTAGGATTACAAAGATGTATTGTCCCTGCCCGCAAAGAGCTTATGATCTAATAGGGGGAGGAGAACACACCCACCAACTATTCAGTACAGCGTGATAAGTAGTATTATATACAACGTGCTGTGAAACAATGGATGAGCGAATGGTACGCAGTCAGGAACAGGCACTAATACTGATTGAGTGTATATTTGTCGCATGTAAGGTGCTTTGTGTTATTTCGTTTAGTCATCGCTCCAAAAGCCCTATAAAGCCAAGTGTTTAACTACCCACTCAGAGTTATACAGTTTGCATGTGACTGAACTAGTTTATAAATCAACCTCTGACTTCTCAGCCATTTCTTTGCCAAACCAAATGCAGAGAAGGCTCCACAGGAAGGAGAAAAGTCAGCTGAAACCAAAAGGACGAAGGCCATTTCCACAGAGGGCTGGGGGCGGGGTCAGAGTCTGTGTCCTTCAGAGACAACTGGGAAGGAAGGAGCTGGGTAGGTAATACTATGCTCATGAGTCTGGGTTTTACCCTGTAGGCAATGGGTAAGGAAGGATTTTGAACAGAGAAGTAATAGAATCAGATTTACACTACAGAAAGATTACTCCAATATATAACCTAGTTTAGACTTATGTCACAGCATTTATTAGTGTGTATAGTTATTTTCTAATTTGTGTTTATAACACAAATTAGAACCCCCAGTTTAGACTTATGTCACAGCATTTATTAGTGTGTATAGTGTTATAAACACAAATTAGAACCCTCTCTAGAGTTTGAACTTTAATTGAACCGAACTCCATTCCAATCCATGTATGTGTGTGACATATGTATGTGTATGTGTGTATGTGTGTGCACACACGTTTCTTGGAAGCCATTTGGGATTCCTTGTACAAAACTCTCTCCTGAACAACCAAATTTATATGTTTCTCAGTTTTCTTTGTAAACTGAGATATTATACCCATATCTAAGAAACAAATTTAAACAGAAGTAAAGATCAACTTTTTGGGGAGGTCTTTTTAATGAAGTGCAAAAAGAAGCCAGTCGGTTAGGCATGAGTTTGAAGGAGAGGACAGCAAGTATCTCCACTCAACAGAGACGACTCTGCACCTGCCTCCACCCCTCCCCCAACCTCGGCGGCGATGAGGGAGGCGGCAGTCTGCGCCCAGGGACGACGAAGATGCGCTGAAGGTTAGCATTGCTCTGAGCCTGCAGCTGCGGAGAGGTTAACACCTTCCTTCATGAAGAAACTGAACCTTTCCATCACTCTTCCTAAGGGGAGACACCATTAACAAGATTCGTTAGCATTAGTGTGTGTAATGGCAGAGCTGAAAGGACAATAGAGATTATGAGGCAGAACCTCATTTTGCAAATGAAGTAACTGAGTCTCTGAAATGGAATGTCCTTGCCACAGGCAGATGCTGACGGTGGGAGCAGCAGAATTTCCTTAGTCCAGTGATACCTCCACCCCGCCTGCTGTTTCCACTGATCCCAGAGCCCAGGCTGATCACCCAGTGTCTTAAAACAACAAAGAAGGAGAGATTCTGACACCAGGGGTTGAAGCAGCCTGCCCCTCTGCCTTCGCTGCTCAGCAGGACCTGTGATGAGGCCGGATCCTGTACTAGTGAGAAGAACTTCCACCACAGGTCCCCTTCAGTGTCCTTAACTATAAGCTGGTTTGTAGGCCCAGGGTGCCATGAGTGCGCATGTTAGAGAACTTTCCCTTCTGTGAAATAAATGTTCCTGCATATGAATAATGTTTATTCATGTAGATATATCCTTCTGGGCTCAGGGCCTAACCAGATATTCTAGCTTGTTAAAATAATCATAAAGATGAAAAACACAAGAGCCAAGATATGTGGCCCAAATCCAGTGGGTCTAAAAGAGGGTCAATGACGAGCAATGTGGACTTGCTGTAAAACAGTAAATGCTAAGTTGCCTGTTCTGCACCAAAGAAGTGACATCTTCCTAGTTGCATTGCCTTCAAAAACACTTTGCAGGTCAAACAAAATACCTAAACAAAACACGTCCCTGTGATTTAGGTCCAAGCACTGACAGCTTGCATTCCTCTATTTTAGATAAAAGGAAAACGTATCTTTATGGTAGCTTTATCCCCTCTATCCCCCTTAAGGCTACAGATATTTAGAGCCACTAGGAAATTGTGGAAGATAAAGGCTCTCTAGCCAGTTTGTCTAAGGAACAAGCTGTATTATGACCTCTTTAAAGTCATGTAGGAAATTATTTTTTAGTGTGGGGTTCAGGATCCTTTTTTTCAAACAAAATGTTATATGAAACGCCACCATATAAAATAGTCAAAAGCTGCACTTGAAGGTGGAGACCACCCTAAATGATCCCCTGAATCCCTTCGGTGACCCCCGACTTGTCCCTCCAGAATCTCTGGGCTTTGGGACAGCAATTTGAAAACTCATGGTCTTGTTGGACTCCCTCAGTTGGAGGTTCTGTGACTAGTCCAAGCTGGCAGACATAGTGGCCCACCCCTAGTCTGACTGTGAGGCAGTCAGTTTTCTATCTCTATCAGCTGCTTCGAGTGGGAATAAGTACAGTTTATGGAGTGAAGCAGGCTCATGGAAAAGTTTGCGGTGGAAGACACTGGCCCCAACTTCTTTTTCTCCCCATGAGGTACTCACAAGCTCTCAGTGCACAAGTGGCATTCGTTCCCATAGGTGATGTAGTCAGAACCACAAACAGGCATGTACGCGATGGGGCAAGGGATGGCCACCACTGGGTACTTCTTGTAAATGCTGCAGTCCACCTGTGACAGACACAATGAATGTTCTGCCTTCCTCCTGGCCCCCAAGCTAGGAGACCCCAGACTCTATAGTACACGAAGCAAAATACCATCCTAGTCCCAGCTCAGACAGTCTGATGCTGCTGTGGCTACTTCTGTAAGTAATATTATTACTACTAGGACAAATACTAGTACTACTAGGAACACTTCTATTATTAGTAGTAGACTCAGTTAATAATTCCTGAGCATTTCTAAGCCAAGCATTAAACTTACATCTTACATGAATTTTCTTTGTTTAATCTTTAGGTTCTACTATCATCCCTATTTACAGGTAGAGGAAATTAAGGCTTAAAAGAGAGCATTTGTATAACATGAAAGCTAGAAACTGATGTGGTCGGGATTTGAATCCAGGGCCTGGGAAATTAACCAAGGTCCTGCCCTGCTCACATGCTGTCCCTTCTGTGAGGACTTCACCAGCCCTCGGCTGGAAGTCACCTCTCTCTCCTTTAACTCAGGAATAGTTTATAAGGCTGTGGTTATTTATATGTGTGTCATATTTCCTCAAACAGCAGAGATTTCTTGATCTGTGCCTACCTCCCTAACCATACTGAATTAATCCTACAGATATATTTCATAAGTATTTGTCGACTGACAGTCGATTGGAATTGAAATAAAAATGCAATTTGGTACACTCACCGTTGTTAAAGGCAGACTAGCAGCTTCTGAAAGAGATATACAGATGGAAATGTTAAGAATAAAGCAAACACTTGAAGTCTCATTAATTAATGTAAATCTGATCCTATAGATTAAGATTCTGCATTTCCTCTGGCAACGGTCTCAGCATACACTCTAATCTTACGCAAGAAGATTCTAGTTGTTTGCTGAGGAAGCCAAATGGCTGGTGGGTTAGATAAGCCCTTGGTTCAGGCAAGAGAATTATCCAAATTTCCTCCCTTCATTACCATGAGATGTTTTCTGAAGCTCATTGTGTCTTTGATAATGGTTCGTAATCAGATAGCAATAGGCAGATATTCAATGCCACTCCCATCTTTGATATTCTCCCCCTCCTCAGCGATACAAAATAATGTGATAAAATGTCTTTAAAGTGTAAAGATTGATTTAAGCAATGTTTCAACCATATAAAAGTCTAATTGATGATTCCTGGGCTTTGGAAAATTGTGTTTTATTTCAATCCTTCTGGATCGGTCTTGATAGGCATCCAAGTTTTTCTGCATTTTGCACCAAGGAATAGTATCTAATAACAGGAATAATATCGAATAGTTATCTAACAAGTTCCAGTGTCCTTTTAAAATGGTAGACTTATGAAGAGAGGGGTTCACTTCTGTGTTCCGTGGACAGAAATAAAAATCCTTGAAAAGGAAGACACTAGACCCAAATCTCCAAAGTCTAGCAGAAACAGAAGATTCTCCCAGGCCAGCACTGTTTCCACTCTAAATCAATACTCTTTCTATTCTAAACCAGCACACTTTAAATCCAGATGACCAGACATTTCTCTCTAATGCTCACATCTCAGGAGAGGTTACTTGGAAAAACAGGCTTAATGGCTGCACAGGGCACTATCTCCCCTTAACTCACCTGAGCTGCTGCAGAAGTAGGTCACTGTACAGAGCAGAAGGAGACCCCCAATAGTCTTCATGCTGGAGGTGGCTATGATGCAGAGGCTGCTCAGGGCTGTCACAACAGCTGCATCAGCCATGCCCTAGGAAAGGGGCCATGTTTATATGGTGACACTTGGCCTCTCCACCTTTCCTATGAGGTCATCCAGTCATTGCTGGTTTTGAGAGGCTCTCAAAGCACAATGTCACACCCTGGGTGGTGGTGCAGTCCTTGTCACTTAATTGCTACTTCTTACCTGACCAACAAATTAATCATTTGCGGTAAGAAGTATTTTTCTGTCTGTCTAAGAGGTGGGGATTGTTATTTAAAATTCTAAGAAGAAATTAAGTTATGAAATAAGGAAAAATGTCAAGCTTTATTTCACGAAGAGGGTATTAAACCCAGGACAGATCACACTTAGATTTATATGTTGGCTTCTGCAAAAATACTTTTTTTAAAAGTTTTTATTTTTGAGGCAATAAACATACAAAGCCAGCTGGGGCCGAGTGGAAGGAATAGTGACTCTAGTATTTATGAAGTTCGGAGAAAAGCATTGACATTTTCTACCTCTGTGATCTCGGGTAAGTCACTTATGTGCTGTGAGCCTGTGTCAATCAGGAAGTCCTGGTTATGTTGTAGAAACATACAACCCCAAGATTTCTGTGACTTAAAACAACACAAGTTTATTTTTCATCCAAGCTGTACAGTCAGCTGACGGTACTGCGTTGCCTTCAATGAATCCCAAGTGGGCAGAGTTGTCACTATTTGGAATGTTGTTCACTGTCCAGGTGAAGTGAAAATGTGTTCTTGAGCATTTCCCCTTTCAACAATCAAATGTTCCAGGCCCAAAGTGACACCATTATCACTTTCCCTCAGTCGCCATCACATGGCCTGGCCCAATGACAGAGGTTATGGAGTGTGACCTTACGTTGTTCCTTAAAGACCAGGTGAGAGAGAACTGGAAATAGTTGGCAATGACACAGAAACCACGTAGAGCCTTAGATCCACCCCTGACGAGTGCTAACTGTTGCTTCCCACGTTAGACTTCACATCACTGGCGTCGTTTACGTGAAAGTGCTCTAAAGTGCGGTGCGTGCAGTTGTAATTGTGATTATCACTGCTACTGACGAGCCAAGAGACTCTGCTACGGGCTGCTGACATTAGCTTGTAAACTGCGCTGGGCAGGCACGGCTGTCCAAATGACTGCTGTTTGTCTACTGAGCTTCAGAGCATATGTATGAAAACCTTGGAGAAAGCAGAGGACTCTACTTCTCCAATGCTTTGGTTGGCAGGTTTATTTTAGTGCAGTGTGAAGCACAGTCTCTAGGAAAGATAAAAAATTAATAATGAAAGGATAATAAGCTAATAACATTGCATGACTCCCTAAAATTTTGACTATTACATCTGTTTAGGGAACAATATAATAGTCAAGAATATGGGCAGAGAGCCCAGTGGATTTTATTTGGAATCCTGTTTCTAATTAATGTTGACGTTGCGACTTTGAGTAGATAAGTTAAACTCTGGATGTTTTAGTTTCTCATCTGTAACACAGAAATAATATTTACCTCACAGAATGGTTTTGAAAGTTAAGTGAGATTATATATATATTTATAATGTCGTGTGTGTGCGTGTGTATGTATTGGAGTGCCAAGATCATAATTAGAGCTTGGACTATGGTAGCTAATGATATGGAACGTGAGCTTCATGACAACTCATTGAGAAAGGAATTTTTATTGCCCTCATTTTACCACTGAGTAAATTGAGGCTCAGAGGGTTTAAGTAATCTCCCCAAGATCACGATAGGAATTAAAGGAGAAGACGATGTTGGCTTCAGTCACGGAAAAGAAGGGAAGCGAACGTTCTGATCAAGAGAACTAATTCTGTTTTATTGTTGCTATGAACATTTGAAGAGAATGAATACTGAGTAAAAGCCATTATGTTTCAAGAAGAGATGTCTTTTTTTGTAGTTTGAAAATATAACTTTATCAAAGATGAGTGGGAATGGGATTAAAGGGTGATCAGAATGAAGTGGAAAGATATGGTTATAATATTTTTTGGATGTTTGATAGCAAAAGGGAGGAGGGAAATGGAAGAAGTAAAGCTTTAGCAAGATCTGGGATGACTGAACATGTCTTAAAGCTAAAGGGGAGAAGAAAAAAATAGTATATGCGGTGGAGGATGGCTAATGAGAGGAGTACAGAAAAATGGAAAATAAGATGAAAAGCCCAGGTGAAACAGCAGTCCCTCTGACAGAGGGGGCAGAGACGAGTAGATGAATGTAAAGACAAAGATACTTTGAAAGGGAGAGGAAGATGAAGGAATCCATTGTAAGGTTGGCTCCAGTTGTTAACTTCTGGGGTTGCTACTTGCTGTGGAAAAATTATATTGGTCTGGAAGCTGGAGAAGGATGGAGAAGGCTTGGCACAGACATTGATGAGAGCGTGTCAGACAGTCGACAGGGATATAAAAATTAATGGTCACTAGACAAAATTAGCACCAGATTTTAGCAGTCTCAGTCAGAACCATCCTAAATATTTCTCTCAAAATATGTTATGACGCTGAGTGAGAAATAGAAAAGGGATTTTAGGGATGGGGGTGTGTACTTCAGAGACTTGAGGGGGAGCTATAAAGACTGTGGTAGGCTTAAAAGAGAGTCAGATGTTCAAGAGGTTCAGATGGGTTATGCACGGAGCGAGCACTTAATGGTTTGGAGGTCAAGGTGCAGGCTACATGTGAATTGAGTAGATGTGCGGAATGAGAGTGATTGTTCATGGAGGCTGCAGCTAGTAGGCCAAGTGTCAGGTGAATGTCTCAAGGGAGGGACTGAAGTAATGACTCTCAGGGTGTACCCGAAGGTAAAGCAGATGAAGACAGAGTGGAGAGAAAGGTCTTCGAATTTAAAAAGGTGAGGAAAAGTGAGGTCGAATGATCAGGTGTGGTTCTCTTTGGGTTTTGGCAGCTGTTTACACAGGAAAGGGAATTTTCAAGCCAAACCCTGAGCCACAAATGATGGAGGGTCCTTTGCAAGTGAAAGGAGTCTGTGAAGATTTTGAAAAGCAGTCTACTCTGCACCGAGGGCAGTTTGTAATTCCTCCCTGTATTCTTAGAGGCGCCAAAATGTGAGGCCTTATCAGAGAGGACCTCAGTGACAAAGGTTTTATTCGAGGGAAGGCAACACAGAATTCAAAACCTCAACAAAAAAACATAAGGATGAAGGAGAAGTTTCAGAGTGCTGAATCCCTGATTTCTTCCCCAGTGGATTTGGGTGTCACAGCGGGGGAGGAGAAAGGTGACCATCAAAAAGTGGAGAAGGGTGCGAGAATTAAACTGGAGCGGGGCCTGAATGGGGAGCTCCTGGGTTGTGAGCTAGAGGGAAGAGGGGAACCAGTGCCACAGCTGGCAGTAATCCAGGTAAAGGACAATGGCTGCAGGAAGCGAAAGGTATAATAAGAAAATCGGCCATACTTTAAGCACTCGCTGTGTGCTAGAACTGTGCTACACCTGCTATGGGCGTGATCTAAGACTTACAGTGATCTTAGGAGAGAGATGCAGTTATTTGCCCTTTTATGTAGCTAAGGTAACAGGGACTTGGACCGAGTGGCCAGTTTCAAGTTAAGAGCCAAGGATTTTAATTACTTTGGTGTATTGCCTTTAAATCTAAATCTAAGGTAGATTTGGAGACACATTGAAAATTGGAATAACAGAAGTAAAACTGGCAGATTCAGAGCCATCAGGAAGGACAGATGCTATTTTAAATCACCAGACAGAGGGAGCCCAGGGCTGGGGCAGAGTGCGTGGCATTTTCACCTGTGAGCATCATCTGGAAAGGAGGGGCCCAGCAGGAAGAGGGGACGCTCGAGAGGCAGGAGACAAGGGTTCTTGCCCCGTCCACCCACCCTCATCAATCCAAGGTGCAGTGCTGTGACAGTCCCTTCTATACTTTGTGCTTTCTGCTTCCCAGACATCTAGTGAGATTAGCTTAGGCTGGTGCTTCCAGTTTTCCAGTTAAAAATCCCTCCTTGGAACGCTAATATGTACAAATGATAAATAAGGCTGAGGGTCGGGGGTGAGTGGAAAGAAGTTGGAACTTTCCTCCTTAATTCCGTTTCCCCTCGTAATTGCTGCTCTGGCCCACGCCTAACTCCCCGGCTCCGTCCTTGGCGTCCAGCACACACTCCATCCAACACCCTGAGGCCTTCTTATGACAGTTTAAAATCAGTGGCCTAGCTTGGGCTGGACTAGCTCTAGCCTTTTGTCCACCTGCTTCTCCCTTCCCTATGTGATGCCTTCACACTCGAGCTCTTTTTTACCTTCTTTTTCCTTTTCCATGTTCATGCTTCTGTGTGCACTGAGGCACAATGACCAAGAGGATTTTTGCATTTGGATCTTGTGTCTGGAAGGACCTTGTTCCCTGCCTCTCGTGGGAACCGGGAGTTAGCACATGCAAGGATCCTATGTTTTGGTTCTGTAGAATTTTCTTTGAATCACTGAGGCTACAGAGTTCGTCATGGAAGAAGATAATGCGTAGAAACAATAACAACTCTTGTTTCCTTTCGGTTTATGTTGCTCCTAGGTGGAGCAACTTCACACTACATAGATCTAGATCACACACACACACACACACACACACACACACACACACACACACACCCCTCCCAGCTCCTATCAGTAAAATCATGTCTCCTATGTTCACTGCTGAAGGAATACCTGTAACCCCAGAGTTAGCCAATATTAGAGACTATGTTAGCCTTCCAGGGCTACCATAATACCAAAGAATGGTGATTTAAACAACAGAAATTAATTTTCTCACAGTTCTGGAAGCTGAAAGTTCAAGATCAAGGCGTGGGCAGGATGGTTTCTCTTGAGGCTTCTCTCTTTGGCTTGTAGATAGCCATCTTTTCACTGTGTCCTCACATAGTCCTTGTGTGCATGATCCTTGGTGTCTCTTCCTCTTCTGATAGGGATGAAAGTCCTATTAGCTTAGGGCCACATTTTGATGACCTCGTTTAACCTCGATTACCTCTGTAAAAGCACTGTCTCCAAATACAGTCACGCTAGGGGTTAGGGCTTCTACAAATGAATTTTGGGGAGACGCAATTCCATCTACGACATTCTGCCCTCTGCACCTTCCCCCAATTCCTTCTCACACGTGGAGAATCACAAATCAATGTCCTTCTTACATGTAGAGAATCACAAACCATCGATCATCAAGACCCTTTTATCCCATGAAATGTTTAGTATTTCTTGACAAAAGAATTCCTTGGTCAATCAGATTTGAGAAACTGTGGATCTCTATTTCATTTGGAGGGATTCACAATGCACTTTATTTTATTAAAGGCTCTCTAAGTTTTTTGCAATACAGAAAACTTTTCACTTAGTTTAACTCAATTTTACCCCAACTTAATTTGTCACAGTTTACTTATTATTTTACAGAATATTTAATAACATCTAAAATGACGCTAGTGCTTTCTCGGACATTAAGAAAGAAGGATATACTCCAATTTCCCATAAAGTTATAGTGTCTAATATACAGAGTCGTTACCAAGAAAGATCACTGAATTTTTCAGTCTGCTTGGACTGCTCAGAAGTTTTTACCATATTGAAGAGAACTCCTTCTCTCTGCAGCTTCCATACATTCTAGTTCTCTACAACGGAGCCCGATAGAATGAATGTGCTCTATCTTTCCAAGTGAATCCCTTCAGGCATACAAAGGCAGCTCTAGAGTGCCTGGAAAAGTCCTTTTTCTCCAGACGATATAGATCAGCTTCTTTGATATTTCCGTAGAGTCTGTAATCCTGTAAGTCCTCCCTACCCTGACGCATTAACATAACATTACTTCATAACGGTGAAACACAAGTAAAAGTCAACTTCGTTTCCCTTCTCTGTTTCATGCAGTATTATCCTCACTAGAGGTTCGGAGATGAACAAGACAGCCAAGGACTCTACTTCTTGGAACTTCTTTTCTTGTAGATTAAAAAAAAATGACCATAGACTATAATACAATGATTTCATATGCTGATGAGTATTTAAAAGAAAATATATCATGATATTGGGCTAGAGAATAATATGGAAATGGGGGCCAAATTTGATTGGGTGATCAGAGAAGGATTCTCAGAGGAGGTGCTATTTGAATAGACGTCTGAATGATGAGAAGGAGCCAGTCTAGACTGTTTCTCTGATTCCAGTGTTCTCCAAAATGTCTTGTCATTATAAAACATTCAACTTGTAAATCAGACAGGCTCTAGCCTGTGTCTTGTGATTGATTAGGTTAAATGTTTTGTACTGAATTCTATGTGAGATTGGATTAAAAAATTCTTGCACTTATTTTTTTAATTGCCTTTTCTCCACGTTTGTCTCTTCTTATTATTTTCTATCACGAGCTTTTCTTATGGCGATTTCAAGTCGAGTCTGTGTTTAGGAGTTCATGGCCTCAAACATTCATTTAGTGTCTAGCTATTAAACGTTGATTATGTGTCTCACTTATTATATGACCTTGTTTTATTCACTATCATCACAGCATTCATTACTACCTGCCATTGCCTGTTCCTCTATGTGTATATTATTCATCTGTCATCACTAAAATTCGGGCTCCGCAAGACTTGTCTGTCTTGTTTGCTTGCTTATACCAACACCAAGCACTGTGCATTGCACAGAGTAGGAACTACTGAATCAATAATTACTGAATAAACGAGAGTCCTAAGATTCCATATTATGTCAAAAAGTAGAGTAACACAGGATTCGGCCCTCATTTGGGAGAAAAAAAATCTGTTTTACACAGTGAATTTAAAAAGAAAGAAAGCTTATCTCACTGGAACTTAAAATAATTCAACCATTTTCGATTGAATTTAATTTCAATAAGAAGAGGAAATCGTGACATGTTTAACATTCTCTTCCATATTTTTTCCAAATAACTCGAAATCATCTTTAAGTTGAAATCACTGTTGTCTGAGTGAGCAAGGGCCCTTTTGCAGCGTTCTCTTCAGTGGCAAAGGCTACAAGGTAAATGTATCCCGATTGCTGACAGAGAACCTCCACCTACTTCTCAGTAGCTACCACCACTGTGACAACGCAAGGAATCCACCCCTCCCAGCGGTGTCCAAACATAATCTACAAAAAGAGATTCATTCAGCTAATCGACAGGCTCTTTAATCAAGGTAATGCCTGCATAGTTTACGATGAGTACTATCTAAATGTAGCATGTCCAGACCAGAAAGAAATAATAAGAAACAAGGCTTGAGAAATGACTGAAGTACCAGAGTTTTGTTTGCGTTTGTTTTTCCTGGAGAAAAGAGACTTGAGTGTGTGTTGCGTAGAAGACAGAAGATTCATCTTCTACTGTTAACTGGGAAAGAGCAAACTGTTTTGTTAGAAAAGGCTCTGATGGTTGAAAGCATCATGAGTGTAGGTTTGGATTCCAGGTAAGCAGTACTCCCTTCTAATTGGACCTCCATGGCAATGTTTTTGCTCCACCATAGCAACAATAAAACCATCAGTGGGAAACCCTGATATATGCTAGGCCATTAGAAATATTGTGGAAGTCAGACTGTTCAGATGATCTCAGCCCTCACTCCAACTCAGTGAACCTATGACTACCTGAATTAGGCTTTCAGTCAGTGCATTTTGGGTTTAACTGACTTCGTTTTATTCATGTTTGTAGAGTGACAAAGACGAAGCAGTATACACAGTGATGCTAATTATATAATAAAATGCTAATTATATAAAAGTTATATAACTTTTATTATCAAAGTTAAAATTCTCAGAGAGACAAAGTTAGCCCAGAGAGATTACCTTCCCGATGTCACTTCTTCAGTGACTTCAATACCTGCTCTTTCCATTTGGCCAGCTGTTGAGGATATGCAATAATAGGGGGACTCAGTCTAGAAATGACTGTCAAATATAGATGTGCTTTCCCCAATTGCCTGGAGAATGAATACAGAACACAGATGCCCAGGCTCATTAAAATACGGTATGCCTAGGCCTATCTATGTACAAAAACTTGTGCAAAACCAAGGAAGAAGGAAGTTGTAAGGTGCGTCCTTGTTGCCAGCAAAGGTGTACTGTGTGTTATTAGCTGGAAAGGTGATTGAGAAAGTAGAGCTGTGCGCCCTCCTCTGGACACGTCCGGTTATGTAATGAACTAGTCAGACTAAGCTAGAAGAGGCTGACATCTAGTGGCAATAACAGGTAATGACACAGAGCACACAACCAAAGGCCACTTTTTTCACCTTTCATTTTCCCCAGCCTCAAATGTAATAATGACGTCATCTCCTTGTATTAGTCAAGATATTTCTGTCAGAAGTGACAGTTTATAAACCAGATTAAGCAAAAAATATAAAACAGAATTTGGTAACCGATGTAATAGTAACCGTGGGATGGAGTGAGAATTAGGTATGCTGGAATGAGGGGGTTAAATGATATGGATTCACTCTCGCTCTCTCCAAAACATACCTGCCTCCCCAAAACGCCCCCCTTCTATTAGCAGGTGGACATTTTTCTCACCTAATGAAGATGGGCTTCATTCATTCATGAATATAAGGTAGAAAGCCTCATATTCATGAGTATTTTCTCTTTTGCTCATGTCTTTAAGTGAGATTAGTAGGGGCAGGGTCTGACCTTGCAGAGGAACCTGAAATTTGCAGTAAATTTAATTCAGGGGCACGTCAAGTAAGTCTACTTAATAACAGACCTTGGACATAAGCAAAATGAAAGCTGACTTTAAACAATCAGCAAGCACACAGAGATGAATATCTACCACTTCTTTTATTATGTTTATTTGTAATAAATGCGATATTTGATCCTCCATTAGTTTAATTCCTTTGTTTCCGATTTGGTCCAAATTTGGGCGCAGCGTAGAAGTGTGTTATTACACACCCTCAAATTCCAGAAGAAATGATTTTCAGCATTTAGTGAAAAGAATAAGCGAGTATAGTACTCTGTTATCCATTAATCACATTTTCCATATTTATGAAATTCAACATTATTAAGTTCCCTAAAGAGAAGAGAGTAAAAGACTAGTATCACAAGGAAAGTGGGCATTGTTTCACATTCCCGTATCTTCCAAATGACATCCTAATGAGGGGATCTGCTTTCACAATTCCCTTTATACCCATCTCTTTTCCATTTGTTTGTCACTACCATAGCCTGCACATTTCTCCCCGATGTCTTGATTATTCAAAAAGTGTCCTGTGAAGTGTTTCAACAGAGGATCTTTTGTTTCTTAACCTATTCCCATTTTGATACCTTTCCCCGATTTTTCTACCAAGAAAAGACAGATTTTTCTACCAAGAAAAGACAGCCATAGCAATAATGAGATGCATAGTAATTCACGTATTTCACACTATAATAAACTTTTTACTAGGTTTACATGCCTATAGACTATTCTATTCTCCTTACTCTGGTATTTGTTTCCCAGAAGACTAGCCTTTGCCTATCTTTCCACCCTTATATATTACTGTTTTCTGGATATAGAACATTCATTTCAACACAATTTCTTTCTTTATTATTTCCTCCAAAGACACTGCACATCTTCTCAATTCCAAATATTTTTCCAAGCAGTGAACCCTGTATAAATTGCCTATTCTATTTTCTTTCGCATTTTGTTTTCTTTAAGAAGTCTTTAACCTTCTCTTCCTTCAAGAGACTCCCTACCTTAACTCCTATATCAAGCATACCTTTGATGTAGAACTACTCACTTGGATCAGGGCTGTAAACATAATTGCTGGTAGGAGCCAAGTTGCTGATATAAATGAGTGAAGTGGGCGACCTTCACCACAATAGAGAGGTGAGTCTCTAGCTACCTGGAATGCCTGCGCTCCATCTGGATGGGCAGCTACTATGAACCACCATTGCTTATTTCTTACATGCAAAAATTCTAGCTTCCTATTAGTACAATGTTTGCTTTTTCAAAATAAGTTGGAAATCAGAAAAATATTTTCTGATTTTTGAAATACTGTCAACCAATCCAAAACTTACTAAAATACCATTTTGGTTCCACAAAACCACTGCTGTTCTCTATTATCATGAATTCTTCTACACATATGTTCTTTTTGCCAAATAAGACTGCACACTTCTGAAGGGTCTGGGATCTGTTTCGGGGACCTCTAAAGATAACGGCTGTGATTCTGTATCCATTCTGGCCAAGATCCAAACTCTTTCGTTTTCTTTTTTCAAAGGATTTACACTGTTCATAAATGGTGGGTATCTCTCAGGACTGGGAGTCCAGTTTGCCTGGATTTTTCTTCACAACACTACAAAAAGCAGACAGGGCGGAATGACTCCCCTCCCTCCATCACTCATTCATCTTTCCTTGAAACCAGTGGTAGAATCTTGGTTAATTCACCGTTTTCAGTTCTCATTCTTTTCCTTTCAAGAACATTTCAATCATCCTCTGAGTCCAGTACTTGCTCTGAAGATGAGCAAATCTTTTCTTTGTTGGACAAGCTTCTCACTCTCTTTCCTTTGGTGCTCAGCAATAACCCTCATGGGACGGGAACATGACGCTGGACGCCCATGAGGATTCCTCTCAAAGGAAGACGCACGTGAAGAAGCAAACTCAGCAGACCTGGAATGCTCTAATTATCTCTGGCGAAATAACCTATAAACTCTGCCTGATAAGAATGTTTTGTAACCCAAGGTCATAGGCCTCGCCAGATTGTTCATGCTCAGGCGAACGCCTGTTTTGTTCCCCAGTGGTCTCAAGCCACTCTGTATCAGTTTGAAATGTTTTTCTGGGAGGTGGTGGGGAAGTGAAAGACTAAGTAGTTGTCTGTAGTGCAGGTGCTGCATGCCTAGGTGGCTGGCCCCAAACAAATAGCTGGGAAATCAAGATTTTTGTGAGCTTCCCTGGTTCTCAGTACTTCATACCTGTTGTCACACATCATAGCTGGGAGAATTAAGCATTGCCTGTGTGAGTCCACCGGGAGAAGACAACGGAAAGCTTGTGCCTGATCTCTCCTGGACTCCACTGTGTGAGACTTCTGCCTCCACTGATTTTAGTCTGTATCTTTTCATTGTAAAAAACCATCACCATGCGTTTAACAGCTTTTCTGAGCTCTGTGGGTCCTCCTAAGAAGTTATCAAACTTGAAGGTAGCCTAGGTTGTGAGGAGTTATTGACAAGTCAGGCTGGTTTGTAAAAATGATTTCTAATGGTGTTAAAATAAATCACAAGGAATATTAGTTTTTTCATCTAAACTTTCCTTGAATTTATTTGAAAGTCAAAAGATTATTAAAAGCCCACTGTTAATTTTCACCACACAAACACTTCGTTACTCATGTGTATCTACACCTGGATCTATGTCTATATCTACATCTGTATTTACATCTATTTATATCTTCCGAACAACATTTAGGGGTGTTATTTATAGGTACGTCAATATAAGTTGCTACAGAAAATTTGAGTGATTTTTAAAAATTGGATTTCTATAGAGTATCTGCTAACATCCCTACACAATTCAATCAAAATATCGTGTAAGATTTTCTTCTTTTTCTTTAATAAGTCAATTTTGAATGTTTGCTATGTTAAAAAAAAAAAAAGAAATCACTTTATGTGTAGTCTGAAATCTTTTGGGAATAATAGAGGCTATTTTCTAAAAAAAAAAAAAAAAAAAAATAACCCACGAATCAGTAAATCTAAGTTCTTTGGCTAAGATTATTTAAAATTTCTGTGAAGAAATATAGAGGAAAAAAATGACCGTATTTTATTCTGAACTTACCATTGAGCGACACAAAAGAAACACTCATTCTTGTAAGTGTGGCCGTTTGTAGCGCAAACGTACGCAGGCACATCCGGACAGGGATAGTCTTCGTCAGGTTCCATGGGGTAGTACATTTTACACGGGGGCTGCAAATATTAGAACATTCCCCCGCCCCGATTTATTCTTGTCCTGCCACTTCTGTCCCACATACAAATGATGTCAAATATTCCTAGTTAAATGATCTTTTTCAAGGATTTCCTCTCCTCTGGGCTTTGGTCAGCCGAGTTTTTTTTTTGTTTTTGTTTGTTTGTTTGTTTGTTTTTTTGCTGAGTGCAGTGCCTTCACCCATCCCATCATTTCTTAAAGTCATGAGCACTGTAATATCTCAGTTTGAAACCCAAATGCAAAGTTTCCATTTAAACTTGGAGTCTCAATGTCAGAAGATCATTATAAGAAGTATGTGAGTAGAGATATTTATGTGTTTGTGAACTTCTAGAGAACAGGGGCTCAAATGCTGGTAAGAGTGAGGGTTCATCCTGAGACTGGGAATAAACCCTGTATTTAACCTTGTGACCTTGAACAAGTGACATTTGTTATTTCATTTAATGCTTAGAGGTATATTTTACCATTATCATGCTTGTGTTATCTGGGAGTAAATCTAAGTCTGAAGAGGTTAAGATATGTGCTCAAGGTCACATAGAACACTGTTCTACTTCACCACTATGAAGTTGAGGTCTCTCAAGTCAAGAGAGTGATCAGATAGAATCAGAATTCAGAACTGAAGAAATTAAATTTACCTTAGGCCATTTAGAGAAGTCACGGTGTTTGAGTGCACCTGCAAATAAAGTACAGACACTATAGGTTAAAAGAAACGGTTTTCCATGGAATCTGATTTTACCCACTGAAGTTACTGACTAAATAAAGAACCGTAATTTAATAACTCATTTGCACAAAATTATATAACAGAATTTGTGGGTGGTGACTACTTTATCAATTTATTTGTTCCTTTCATTTTCACACGCCTGACTTCATTTATCGATTGGCTGTGGCACTGAGGAAGAAAGCGTAAAAACCATTTGGGGTTGGATGCATAACTTGCCAACCTTGTCATTTTCATTAACTTGCTTGACTTTTGTTGGCTTTAGTTTCCTCTTTGCTACAACTGGGATTAGTAGACACATTTGAAAGTCTGTTATAAAAATTAAATATAACATAGGAAAGAAAGGATGAGGTCAGTTCCCACCAAGAGGCTGAATTAAAGATGACGGTCAAAGAGGATGAGGAAATTCAGGAGTTCCTTGGCTCTAGAGAGACTAAACCATGGTGAACTGTTTTGTGTGGGGGGCGCTGGTGGTGCCTGGGGACAGAGAGTGACCAGCCAGCTGTGAGAGAGCAAAATGAGAAAATACCTGTTATAGTTCTCCTCTTCTTTATTTCTCACTGTTGAGATGATATTTTAAATACCCAAGAATAAGTGTTTTTAAATGAGAGTATTATGCTAAGTGAAATAAGTCAGAAAAGGACAAGAACCTATTGTTTTCATTCATGTGCGGGATATAAAACAAAAAGTAACAAGGCTAAAACAAGCTCAGGTGTTCTTTAGCCTGCTATCTTTTATGCAAGAAAGTAGGAAGAATAACAAGATATACATATACATGTTTATTTGAGCAAAAAGAAACACAGGAAAGAGAGAGACTAATGAGGCTGGGTACATACAGGGCGAGGGTGGGATTGGAGCGAAAAGAAAAAGGTACAATGACACATCTTTGAACCTAAACTTTGTTCATTTGGCTTCATTTCGTTTATGTTCAAAATGATTTTGAATTGCCCTTTTGATTTTTCTTGACCCACGCATCACCTAGAGGTATGTTACTTAATTTTCAGGTATCGGAGGATCTTCTATAGCAACTCTTTCTACCAACAGTGCTGCCCGATTGATACCGATTTGCGTTACCAAGCTCAAAGGTCTATGTCTCAGCAAAACATCTCCTATCCAGCCGCAAATTATTCTTTGTCTTTCTTACAAGTAAAATAAATTCGATGTTTCTTTCCCAAGACCTGTAAGTTTGCTTACCTGAAAAAACAGTATGTGTCAATGTGGAGAATACCAGGAAAAATATGGTGATGTGAGGAAAGGCAGCCATTTGAGGTCCTCTAATGTCCTGCTTTGGTGAGATCTGTGAAGATGCTCAAGACAGTTTATTCCTAATCTTGCACAACTGGCTTTCCAAACATGAGAGAACCCACTATCCTGCGGTGGTGCCATTTCCGTAAACTTGGCCATGGTCGTTTCACACTGCCCTGGTCAGACCTGAGAGGGCCCTTCTGCTCTAAAGAAGGAATGAAAACAGTTAAACCAACTCTTTACTTTCTCTTCTGCCAGCAGCCACTGTACGATCACAGTCCTGGTTTGGAAGAAGAATTAGGCACACTGTAATGCATGTCACCCTACAATGCAAGCCATCTGAGTCCCTGGAATGCACCAGTCTCTCCCACACTAAAGCCCCACTTTTCCTCACTAAGTCTCTCCTTCCAGGCCCGTTACTCTAATACAAAGCACAGACTGAAAATAGAACTGTTGGTCCTGGGTCATAAAAAATATGGATACCTTCACAGATTCAAGAATCAGGATATATATCAATAGCTAGATCAAGACATAATTTTTATGACTCATATATGGGTACTCATATATAGGTGTAGACATATACATGTACATATATCTGGGATCAAATTCTAGCTTCAACATCTTTTTTGATGTGAGCCTCAGAAGAAGTATGAAGTTTATAGGATATTGAGAAGATCAACTGATATTAATATAAGTAAAGAATGTAACTATATTAAATTGCCAATTTTGTTAGCTAAACTCTTCTTTTGTAAGGATGGAAATATCTAGGCTGAGAGAAGATACTTTCCAAGTAATTTCATCAATGTCCTCATGCTTCTTCTCCAAAATGCAGCTGGCAGACACGTAGAGAAATGAGGGAGAACCATATTTGGAGAGGAATTTTCCCTACTTCCATGTGGAGAGAAAACAAAAGGAGGTTGCTGGAGGAAAACAAACATACAGGGAAACCTACTGACAGAGAAGAAAGCCAAAGACATTCCATCACTGATTTGGTCTAAGAAAAGAGGTGAAGAGCTGTTACCTGAATAAACTTGCTACAAAACGTGAGCCTGCTGTAGTCACTCTGAGGTCACAGCTAGCCCTGAGCAAAGTTGCTGCAGTCAGGGACATCTAATGGCTGTTTCCTAGTTTGATCCTTCTCTTGAACCACCTCCTTTGCTATTTCATGTGCCAGCAGGCAGGAACAGACCTGGAGGTTCTGTTCTTGTGGTTTCTGATTGTGAGTCACAAGAACAAGAAGAACTTGTATCCATTTGCAAATCAGATTAATTATCTACTACATTCCAGATGATCTGGTGAAACTTCTTGCTGAATACAACACTGGTTCTAGTCTTCCTGGTCTCCTTTGCCTCCAGAGGTCACCTAGTCCATCCTGCTTCTCGGAAGGTTTACCTTTTTTACTTTCTAGGACATGATTTCTGGTATCAGCCTGGGAAACTCTGGCACTGCAGCCAATAATCCTCGCAATACTCAAAGCCTTCCAATTTCTCCACTTGTTTCCGCCTACTACGTCTCAACGTAAGCAAGTCTGAAAATTATTTGCCATAATCTGGAAAATTTCCATCTCACAGACTTCGAGCTCTCCTAGAGTAGTTGGTACTCCTTTTGCTGCTTTGTGTTCCTTTCTCAGCCTGAGTCCCACAGTCTGACTTTTCTATTTAGCCCTTTGATGTGACCATACTGTCTTGATATCTTGCTCTTTATTCTTCCTCTTTCTTCCAACCTGATATAAATTCGGTTTTCTATTTTCCTGCTCCAGAGATTGGTTGTGGAGTAAGGACAGAAGAAATTCCGTACAATGGACTCCACAATCCTACTATCATCACCCTTGACCTAAGCCCCGTAGACGCCTAAAGATGCCTCTTATTTAATGTCATGTTGCTTCCTATGGCACCCATCTCCATATCATTACCTTTTTCTGATCTAAAACACAAATCTTCTATTGGCTTTTCATCGCTTTTAACATTATTAACCAACTTGACATAATTGAAATTTATCCAACGCTACAACTGCTTCTGGCCATATGTAGTAGGTATACTTTCCCTGTTCCTATGACTAAGTACGACTAAAACACAAATAAAATAAACATAAGAAGACCATAAAGTGGAGAGAAGGTGGATGGGCTGGGGACCTGCGGACTTGAAGCATTAACACAGTGCTGAGTTTCCTGGGCTTTGTTTTGGCTTCATGTATCCTGGACTTGGAGGTGAAGAAGATGGCAACCTGGAAACCCCGATAGGCACAGACAAAAAAATCCCCAACAAAGCTTCCCTTTCTAGCTAAAGGACCAGAAAAGGAGCACAAATGTTATCTGGCCTTAAAAAATATATATCCACGAACCCATCACTCTCAGCAGCCCATTTTGCTGCTAGGTTTCTTGTGAGATCTGTTTCACAAATAGTAAGAAATAAAGGCAAACCAGGGGTAGCTGGACCCTCTACAAGGCACTAATGCCTTGTCCACATATTTCTCCTCTTTTATTCAATTTATGAGGTCTTTTTTCCTGATGGAATCAAGTAACACATTCATTATAACTATTTCTATGTAATTTACGACAGGTGTAGTCGTGTTATTGACATTAACCAGATGCCAACAGGTAATAAAGAGGACCAGAATTTAATCTGACTCTACAATCTTTATTGATTACTCAGTAAGTGCTAGGCATTGTGCTAGGTCATAGAGACTGTATAATGTCCATTAAATGACCGCCCTTATGGATCCTAGAGTTTTACTAAAAGCAGGTGACATTCAGAAATTCAAGGAAGCAGTGTGTTTATTATCCAGATTTGGGGAGGTAGTACATGTAGTCATACAGATATGGTATAAATACCTTACCCAAGCTAGCCTAGTCAGAATCTCATTCAAGAGAGCTTGGAATTAAAGCAGAAGACCTGTGTTTGGGTTTTTGAACTAGGAAGTCATAGCAGAGGTTGCTAGGTGTCTACCAATCCCCTTTGTCTATAGCAATAAGACTGTAGCTGGAAACCTGCTAGCCCAACTAGATTTGACATTTCCAGCCTCTCACAGGTGGCCATGTTTATGTGATCCAGTTCAAATTAAAGGACTAGGAGTGGAAGTAAGGCATGCAACTCCTGGATTATTTTTCTCAAGTGTCTACTAGTGTTCCCTGGAAGATAACAAAGAAGCAGTGTATTTTTGAAGCAGTCTCATCCATCCTGGAGAACTGACCTGATAGTTGACTGCCATCCATCCACCACAGGGCAGGAACAATCCTACAGTCAAACGTTAAGCAGCACATTAAGATATTAAAAGTCATGGCCTTTGCTTCATGAGAGCTTTCTTCATATCCAACTCCCTTCCTACCTCCCCAGTAATAAAAAGCATAGGGAGCAATGGTTGTACTTTTAATATTATGTAATCATATCTGCTCAATGCAGAAAGCAAACATAAAAAGCAATGATGGTAGAAAAGAAATGGAAAGCCGACCGGAACTATGAATGATCTTATACTGCCATCATGTCACCGTATTTACTAAACGAGTAAAACTGGGACAAATTCTCATTTGGATATTTAAGAGTATTGACCATCTCCATTTTCCTTATGGGTATTGGAAGCCAGCAAGCCCTCATAAATTTCCTGACCCCACTCTGGCACAGGAGTGGTGGGTAGACACTCCATGCAGGAGTGTCTGGGTGATGGACTTAAGGGTTGGCTTAAAGTGCCACCGTCCATGTAAGTGGGTATCAGAAGCAGCCAAACTGTCTTCATTTGATACAGAGTGGTGAGGATCCGAACATGAGAGCCAGTGGATGTGCTCTTATGCTAGGATGAAAGTATAACTTTCATGTCAGTTTACAGTAACATGGAATTGAAATTTAGAAATCAGATGAAGACAAAAATATCTCAGGGAAGCCAGCGTAGAAAGCTGATAATAATTAAGAATCGAGAAGAACAATGTGCTTCTCATCCGATGCCAGTCTGAGCAGACGCTGAACTATGAGACCTGTCCTCTATTGTTATTAGTCTTTGCCACCCTGAGGAGGAAAAAGGAAGAGGAAAAATATAAATTGAGAAATGGCACTTACATAAAATACTGATTTATTTTAAACTGACATATAGTTTGGGGATAAATGAAGATTCCAGATAAAAACTAAGTTTATTACTGGAAAATAGATAGAAAAATAGAGCTACACTTCAGGTACACCTTATATACTTTGAATCTTTGCATTTGGAATTCCTTTCAGATCCTAAAATAATGATTACAAGGTCACTTTCAAAAACTACAACCTCTGCATTATCAGTTTCACGCATCTAACTTTCTTACAAACACTTCTTCTATTTCCAGCTCACTTTCTCTAGTACCCCAAACCCAGTCACGTTCTGATTCCACTTCTTCTGCTTTGAATTCACCAATAAGGAGTGAAACTGCAAAGCCCAAGACACATATCAATGGAATAGAATAGAGAGTCCAGAAATAAACACACATACATGGTTAATTAATTTACCACAAAGGAGCTAAGAATATACAATGGGGAAATGACAGTCTCTTGAATAAAGTGTTGGCAAAATCAGACAGTCACATGCAAAATAATAAAACTGGACCACCATCTTACGCCGTACACAAAAATTAACTCAAAATGGATTAAAGACTTGAACAAAAGACCTGAAACCATAAAACTCCTAGAAGAAAAACACAGGTGATGAGCTCCTTGATATAGTTCTTGGAGATGATTTTTTTGAATCTGATACTAAGAGCAAAAACAACCAAAACAAAAATAAATGAGACTATATCAAACTAAAAAGCTACTGCACAGCAAAGAAAACCATCAATAAAATGAAAAGGCAAACTACTAAATGAGAGAAAATATTTGCAAATCATATACCTGATAAGAGGCTAACGTCCAAAATATGTAAAGAACTCATGCAACTCACAAAAACTCAGACAATCCATTAAAAATGGATTTTGTGTCAGAAGACACAAAAGCTAAACAGATGAACTGCCTAACAGGTATATAAAGAAATGTATGAGGAAATGTTTTTTCTTTAATGTAATAGGATATTGATATTCTATGTCAATAGTTTTATATTTATATACTTTTTAAAAAGTTTAAGCATGATGGAAGGTATAAAATGACACAGTAATTAAACTAGGAAATGAGAGAAATCAAGAATTATAATTTAAACATGACAATCACTATTTCAAAATATTTTGCTTTAGACTAGATTTGAAATACTGGATAGTGGCTACAGGTGAGGTCAAAGAGTTTTTATATTTTACTGAAGATTTGTGAATTTGTGTGTATTTTATTAGAATAAACAAGCATGTTTAATTTCTGATGAGACAGAATAAAAGAGATGTTGAAGAAAAGAAACAATGGGGAAATAATAATGGTTCAAATAAATCAAACCCAATAAAAAATCTTCCTATGTGTAATAATGGAATAAATACATAATTCCCAAATTAAAAATAATGGTCAGAAGATCTGAATAGGCATTTTTCCAAATAAGTCATATCAATGGCCAACGAGTACATGAAAATATGCTCTAGATCATTAATCATCAGAGAAATATAAATGGAAACCACAATGAGGTATCACTGTGTATATAATATAACAAATATAGGAGATAACAACTATTGGCAACCCTTTTACACTGTTGATGCTATGGTCTGAATATGTCCCTCCAAATTTGATGTTGAAACCCTAACTCTTAAAGGAAAAGATATTGGGAAGTGCGGCATTTGGGAGAAGCTTAAGTCATGAGGATGGGATCCGCATGAATGGAATCAGTGCCATATAAAAGAGGCTCCAGAGAGATTGCGAGCCCCCCTCCAACATGTGAGGGCACAGTGAGAAGGCACTGGTTAAGGACCAGGAACAGGCTCTTCACCAGGATGTAACCATACTGGCACCTTGATCTTGGACTTCTCAGCCTCTAGAACTGTTGTTATAAGCTACCTAGTGGTATTTTCTTACAGCAGCCTCAATGGACTAAGAGGGTGGGTAGGAATATAAAATGGTACAGCCACAATGGAAAATGGTATGAAAGTGCTTCAAAAATTAAAAATAGAACTACCACGGATCTAGCAATTCCACTCCTAACTGTACATCCAAAAGACTGAAAAATCAGGATCACAGAGAGATATCTGTACTCTTACGTTTACTGCAGCATTATTCACAATAACCAAAATATGGAAACAAGCCAAATGTCCACTAACAGAAAAACAGATAAAGAAAAAGTGATATGCACATACACTGGAATCTTATTCAACCTTAAAAATGACAGAAATACTATCATTTGCAATAACATGTCACGGGAAGACATCATGCTGAGTGAAATAAGCCAGTCACAGAAGGACAAATGCTGCATGATTCTATTTATATGAGGTATCTAACATAGATGAACTTATAGAAGCAGAAAATAAAGCCAGGAGATTGGGAAAGGGAAAAGAGAAATGTTGTGGCCTAATCAGTATAAAGTTGTGCTAGATGAAAAAGTTTCAGACATCTGCTGTAAACTTAGTGCATGATCGTGCCCCGTGAATTTGAAGCAGATTAGTTAAATAGTGCTGACTAAATCTCTTCCTATTTCAAACCCTTCAGAGTCTCCCACTTAACTCTGAAGTAAAGATCTGTCAACTGAGCATAAATGAATTAGGTGGCTTTATGAAAATTAAAAATGGCAAAGTTTTATGCAAATCGGAAACAGTACCAGGTAATACCCAGAGTATTTCAAAGAAAAGAGCAAAGTCGAGAGTTCTTATAGTAAAAAGTACATTCTTGAGAAGAATCAGTCCTGGATTCTTAACCTCTGGATTGGTCTGAGATGGTAATTTTCCAGATGTCTGGTGTTCTGGTTAATAGATGTCAGCCGGTCTGGATAATGGATGTCAGGCAGTCTGGACACATGAACATTCTTTCCTAAGTTATTTATTCTTTCTTAAGTCCTTCAGAGGGTTATCTATGGGAATATACATACCTCCAGGAGGCACCGATGCACAACTGAAAAGTTCAAAAGTTTAAATCTTCAGGCTAGTTAGGACAAAATCCAATCTATTCCTCATGCTTCAGCCCAGCTTTGTCAGCTTGACTATACAGACTCTATTCTAAGTCAGCTTAGCTTTACTGACCTCATCTTGTTTTCTCCACTTATTCCTTAGATCAAATGATTCAACATATAATTTAGGGCATTGTCCCCTTGTGCGTATCAACTTCACTCTCGAGCCTTCCTTCTCTCCTGATCTCAATATTCACATGCTGTCCTCCAGTCCAGGTCTCAAAGCTGGCCACCCAACACTCATTTGGGAGCTTTCTGAACATTCCTGGTGATGAACTGATACTATAATTTTACAAGGTGTTTCTTTTGGTTAAAAGAAACACTAGAACTGGTTAAAAGAAACACTAGAACTCTCTGTACTCGTACTTATAGCTTTATGAGACTCTCCATGTATCTCAAAATAAAAAAAGTTTAATAAATGTCAAATTTCCAATTGAGTTGGAAAATACTGAGGATCTAGGTATGTATTTAGTTACAGTTTCCCACACTTATTCTTCTGTTTCTTGCTTTGGTTCTCCTTTCTTTCCAACTCGGTAGTTTAAAAAGCTTTCACATCTCTTCTCTATTTTAGGGTTTCAAAGCACTGCTTATTATTTTATTCCCACTCCATATTTCTGAGTACATCAGATAAAATTGTTTCAAACCTCCTGCTGAGGGAAGATCTACTGAGAATTATTTGTGCGGCATCTCTCACAAGCTACTTTACAGCCTCCAGGCAGTACTCAGAATACCTCGATGTCTTATGTGTCACGAGCCATCTATTTTACCCCCCATCAAGCTCCTCACCAATGACTGAATAAAGGAGATTCCTCAGCTGGGTGGAGGTGATTGAGAAGTAAAAGTGAACAAAATAGACATAGTCTCTAGAGCTGTTGGCCGGCCTCACTCCCCACTGCCTTCTCTGTTTCAGGTGGGTCGGGAGGGGATGTGCGAGGGTGGCCCTGGTGTGCAGCACTGCTGTGAGAATGCTCCAGATCGGTCCTTCCGGAAATAACTGCTGTGTATTCTGAGGAAAATCTGAGATTCCAACGCACATCTTTCCTTAAATGCAGTCAGGCTCCTACGGGCTGGGCCGAGGGCTGGAGAATGAGCAGATCCTTCCTAAATGTGCTAAGAGAGTATGTCCTGGTGTTTCTTTCAGGTCTCTACCAGGCCTTCTGTTCACGTGTTTGTCTTCTTGATCCTGTAGGCTGGAGGAAGAAGAGGGAATAGTGCACTGTAATTAGGAATTTAGGGGAGCGATACAGGTCCTTTGCCTGTAACAAACTTTCATTTGGAAATGGGCAATCCGTTTCTGTGCCATGTGTTATAAACACTCCTTTTGTGTTCCTTCCACAGACTTGATAAAATGTCTTTCTTTTCATCATGGATCAAAGCTATTTTCATCATTGCCTTGGCATTTCCTCTTTACTCTGGTGGGTCCATTTTTCAGTTCACACGTTAACAAAAAGCAGGAAAACAACTACCATGATGTAGAAACAGAGGAGCTTCTTTTATTGGGTTTGTAATACTTAAATCGGCAAAATTAAATACCTTTAATTAAATACCAAAATTAAATACCAAAAATAAATACCTTTTTAAAAATTACATCAGTGGATTGCCTTTTCTCATTTTCCGCCTTGGAGAGGTGGAGAGAAAGAGGTGGATTAGAATGAGCAGTAGAACTTAGCTTTTTGCTCATTTATGACTAAAGATAATAAGCTATTTTTTTTTTCTTTTTAGAGGTCAGACTCCATGGTTGCTAAATGCAGAGTGTGGGGAGTAATGATGTCTTCTAGATCTGATATCCCTTGACCATCTGATTTGTTGTTTGCCAGTTATGAGTCTATTAAAGTCAAGGCTTTGTGTAAGGAGAGAATTCATTGATCCCTCTCCTGACAATTCATCTTTCTTTAAGCACAAGAGGACTAATTAATTTCAGAGTAAAGTAGATAAACAAAGGTGAGGTGTTGAATAGCCTCCTGATATTAAACTGAGTAGTAATTATATAGTAAGTAATTTCTTCATGTCAGTGGATTTAACCAAGGCATTGTCTTCTCTGAGTAGGATATCTCATCTATAAAAGAAGCAAAACAACTATGATATCTGCACGGGAGTGTTTGGTTATGATTAAACAATACATACAACTATTTTTCACAGAGTGAGATTAATTTGTAATTATGTTTTCAGATTTGAAGTTTTTTGTGAACTTATTATTTTGTTACCGCCGCAAAAGGCTCACCTCAGAACTTGCAGGTCTTGAGTTGGCAATTTGCATAGTATTTTGCTGCTAAAAGATGTGGGTACTTTTCACCAGAGGCTGATTGCTTTTCTCTTCTTATTTTTAAATTTTTAAATTTTCATTCATGTGCCTATTGCAGAAACTGCTTTTATACCTTCACCAGCCATTCGTATGACGGTAAGTTAATATCGATTAATTTGGAAATTGAAAAAGATAAACATAATTTTTTTATATTTTAAATTTTAATAGCACGTTTCACCAAACAAAATATATGACAGCATGATTCATCAAAAAGTTTTTTTTAAAACTGTTACTACATTAAATTCAAGAAATAGAATCTTGCCAGCCATATAGAACCATTTGGCATTTTAGACAAGGTAAAAATATCCCATTATTCAAAAAATTTCATTATTGGGTATAAACCTTGTTATATGCAAACATCTGACAAGGGTTAAAGTAGAATTGTTTATCCTAGCAAAACAAGAGGATTTTAAAAAAAACAATTTTCTACTTAAAGGTGGATAAAATAATAATTTTCATATACTCAGAGTGGTATATAGAAGTGAAGAAAATGAACTACAGTTTTAAATATCTGAATAAATAAAGGTTACAAAGACATGTTAAAAGCACGTCATGTAAGAATACAGACAATATTATTTATGTAAATTGCCAATACTGCCATCACTAAATTTTGTATAGTTATATACACATTTGCAAATACTAATATATATGAATATGTACATATGTGGTGATAATCTGAATACTAATACTAATTAGTAATCTGAATACTAATACTAATACTAATTAGCAAATACTAATATATATGAATATATACATATGTGGTGATAATCTGAAAGTATTAAAATATCTAGCAGTGGAAACACTGAGAAAGACAAGGGAACTGTAAAAAATTCAGTTTTATGATTTCTTGTGGTACAAATAATGAGGGGAAATATGAGCCAGGTATGAGAAGAAGTTGGAGCAGAGTGGCTACATTATAAAAAATATGTTCAGCCATTTGTCTGTTTCTTTAAAAAAACAATATTGGGTTTGTAAAAATATATCAATAATATTTCATGTCTAAGTGGGCTGTAGGTAGTCTAATGTTTATTTTTAAACCTCAATATAGAATGTTTTTATTCCATTTTGATGCATGGTATCTTGTATTAAGCATAAAGAACATTTTACTCAAAAAAGTTCATTATCTGATCAATTTTGTGTTGTTCTTTATGTTTCACAGCTAGACTGTAATGTGTATAAAGATCAGTTACATTTTTGCACCAAAGAACTGGATCCACTCTGCGGAACCAATGGCAAAACTTACTCCAACAGATGCACTTTCTGCAGTGAAATGCTGTAAGAACACATGACTAAATATTGGCTCTTCTAATATGATAAACCATCATAAAATGAGAAGAAAATCCATGTTTCTGATAGCTTAGGCACAGCATATACAGAAAATAATTATTATCTCTGTAAATGCCACTGAAACACACTTTTACCTTTCTCTGAAGTTCTCATTTCTAAAAATAGTTTTTTATTTGACTTCTCAATATAACTTTGCTGAATATTCTGCTAATGTATAAATTAACTAATGTAAGTTAATTTAATTCTTAAGACTAACTAAAGGTAGTCCGTGACCAATATATTGGATTCTGAAGTCCAGATGATAACTGATGACCAACTGTAGCTTCAAGCTACAGGAAGCATAGTTGAGCAAGAAAGCCTACTGGCTACACGAATCCATCACAGTGGGCTCCTTCATGCGAGGAAGCGACTTCTCTGCCAGTCCATGTTTTCTCCTAAATTCCACGATGGGCTCCAAACCTTTCTTAGAGAATAGGGCATTCGAGGACACTTCCACCCAAACTCTCCTCCTGTCTCCTGCACTCCGAAGGTGTTTGCAGTATAAAGATTCAGTCAGCCTTCTTACCTCCATCCTCATTTTCTCTCATAGATGTTTTCTCTTATTTAATCCCCCAAGTGGCTTCTACTTATAGAGAACTACTAAAACAATCTCTAATCCTCTCCTCTCTTAGGTCTGTGTGGGTTCCAAAACTGAGTCAGGACAAAGCAAATAAGGAGGACACTTGGGAGAAGGACATGTGCAGGGCTGGAGAGCAAGCGGGTCCCAGCTGCTTATGGAAGTGGAGCGCAGCCTCTCCACACTCTTCCATAGTAAAATTCTCCTCATTTAGAAGCACTTAATGTAATGCTCAGGTAATTTTAAATGCTCTTTTTAGTAATTTTTTCTCTCTTTTTCTTTCTTTACAGAGAAAATAGTGGAGCATTTGAATTTAGTCATTATGGTAAATGCTGACTCCGCCTGAGCACACATTCCTATAGTTTTTATTGCATCCTATTTTGCAGTGGCTTCTACAACCAATTGGCATCTTCTCAATCAGGGTTTAAATTCCTAGATGACAACACAAAGTACACAAGATGAAACACAGGATGTTGAAGAATTTTTCCAATTCTAAGATCTTTTGATTGATTTTTATTCTGTTCAATTATTAAATGGCAGTTGAAAAACTATCTGAGTTTTGTGTTTGATAACATAAAGTCTAATGCAATTTACAATCATAAATAATCAATAAATTTTAAATAATATTATCTTTATTAAAATACCCTTTTACAATTGATTAGTGGGTTAAAACATATGAACACTTTTGATAACTATAAAAAAGTAAATATTTTCAAAGTTGAAAAAATAATACATTACTTGGGTGTTTTTTAAAATTATAGACACTTGGGCTCCTTTTTATCTGAAAGAATCAAAACCTCTAGAAGAGGGATCTGGGCACTTGAATTCTAACAAGTACCCAGGACAATCTCATGATCACGAATGTTAGGCAATATGGACTTATTTTCTAAAACACAGGACATGTCTATAATTCAATGAGTTGTACAGCTTCTTCAAAGATATTGTATGATTTCTGAGGTTCGGGGGAAAATTACATTATTTTCTTTGTTTCCCACAGATCAGTCAAGACATAGGTTGGTAGTCTTTATGTAATCTAGATATTAGGCCTTTAGTATGACTTGCAAATGTTTTCTCCCATTTTTGCATTGTCCTTTAACTTCATTAATAGTGTCCTTTGAGGCAAATTCTTTAAAATTTAATAAATTCCAACTTATCTATTTTTCCTTTGTTACTCATGCTTTTGGTGTTATATAGAAGAAATTGCTGCTTAATCCAAAAACTCAAGAAGATTTACAGCTAAGTTTCCTTCTATGAGTTTCACAGTATTAATACTTGCATTTAGATCTTTGATACATTTTGAGTTAATTTTTGTATATGGGTGCAAAGTGATAATTTTGCATGTTACTATCCAGTTGTCATAGCACCATTTGTTGAAAGGACTATTCCTTTGCCATTTAATTTCTTGGAACTCTTGTCAAAAATCAATTGATTAATCAAGACAGTGTAGTACTGGTGAAAAAACAGACAGATGAGTGGAACAGAATAGAGCGCCTAGAAATAGATCCATATAAATATAGTAAACTTATCTTTGACAAAGGAGCAAAGGCAATACAATAGAGCACAGATACTTTTCTCAATAAATGGTACTGGAACAACTGGATATTTACATGCAAAAAACCTAGACACAGACCTTACGCCTTTCACAAAAATTAACTCAAAGTGGCTCATAGACCTAAATGCGAAATGCAAAATGCAAAACTATAAACTCCTAGAAAAGGACATAGGAGAAAACCTGTATGACCTTGGGTATGGTGATGGCTTGTTAGATACAACACCAAAGGCTTGATCCATGAAAGAAATAATTGATAAACTAGAGTTTATTAAAATTTAAAACTTCTTTTCTATGAAAGATAATATCAAGAGAATGAAAAGACTGGGAGAAATATTTCCAAAAGCCACAGACTGGGAGAAATATTTCCAAAGACACATCTAACAAAGAAGTATTATCCAAGATATAACAAAGAAATCTTGAAACTCACAAATAAGAAAACAAACAACCCAGTTAAATAATGGAATAAAGACCTTAACAGACAACTCACCAAAGAAAATACACAGATGGCAAATAAGCATATGAAAAGATGCTCCAAATCATATGTCCTCAGAAATTTTAATAAAAAAAAAAATGAGATACTTCTACACACCTAATAGACTGGCTAAAATCTGGATCACTGACAATATCAAATGCTGGTACGGATGTGGAGCAACAGGAACTCTCACACATTGCTGATGGGTATGTGAATAGTACTGCCACTTTGGAAGACAATCTGGCAGTTCCTTACAAAACAAAATATACTCTTACCATAGGATCCAGCAATTGTGCTCCTTGGTATTTACCCAAAGGAGTTGAAAATTTATTTACACATAAAAACCTTTATTAGTACAGTAACTTTATTCATAATCCTCAAAACTTGGAAATGACAGACATCATTCAGTACATAAGTAGATAAACAAACTTTGGTATATCTGGACAATGACATATTATTCAGTGATAAAAAGCAAAGAGTTACGAAGCCATGAAAAGACATGAAGAAAACTTAAATGCATATTGCTATGTGAAAAAAGCCAATCTGAAAAGGTTACATACTAATTTCAATTTATGATATTCTGTAAAAGGCAAAACTATGGAGATAACAAAAAGATGAGTGGTTTCCAGGGGCTGAGCAAAGACTGGGGAGAGACATGAAGAAGCACAGCATGATGACTTTTAGGGTAGTGAAATATTCTGTACGATATTATAATAATTGCTACAATTCATTAAACTTTGGCTATAGCCATAGCATATATAACACTAAGAGTGAATTCTAAGGTAAACAATAAACTTTGGGTAATTATGATGTCTCAATGTAGGTTTATCTTTTGTAAAAAATGTACCATTCTGGTGAGTAATGTAGATAATGGGGAGAACTATGCAAACTTAAAACTGCTCTAAAAAGATAAAGTCTTAAGAAATCAATGGAGCATGTATGTATGAATTTATTGTGACTATTTTATTCTATTCTTCTATAGGTCTACCTTTATGCCAGTAGCATATTATTATTATTATTATTTATCACTATAGCTTTGCAGTATGTGTTAAAATCTGGATATGTGAATTCTCCAACTCTCCCTGCCCCCACAAGATTGTTTTTTGCCACACACGGTCCCTTGTATCCCAATATGAATTTTATTGTCAGTTTGTCAATTTCAGCAAAAATCACAGCGGGAATTCTGGTTGGGATTACACTGAATACGTTGATTGCTTTAGGAATTATTGTCATTTTAACAATATTAAGTCTTCCAAACTATGAAAATAGAATGCATTTTTATTTCTTTAGGTCTTCTTTAAACTTTTTTAGCAATGTTTGTTATTTAGTGTACAAATATTTCATTTACTTGGTTAAATTTACTCCTAAATATGTCACTCTTATTGAGTGAAAACTGTTTTCTTAACTTCATTTTTTGATTGTTAATTGCTAGGGTATAGCAATACAATGGTTTTTAAAAATATTCATATTGTTTAAATATTAATTTTGCTAAACTCATTTATTTGCTCTAATAACTTTCAAAATTTTGTATTGTGCTAAAAAATATGTAATATTTATCATCTTAACTACTTCCAACTGTGTAGTTCAGTAATGGTAAATATAAACGAACAACTAATTACAAAATCTTAGTACATTCATGTTGTTGATACTCTTATGCACAGAATACACAAAAAATAACTAATGTTGCTAAAAAAGACAAAGGAATACACTTGTACCTTTCCTCGGAATTCTCATTTCTGAAAGTTGTTTGTATATGAGTTCTCAGAACATAATCATGCCGGCTGTTCTACAAACATGCAGATTAACTTAATTTAATTGATTACAAATTAGTAATGAGAGATTTGCAACCAATGTGATGAAATCCCAAAGCCCTAATGCTAAACACTGTATCGCTACTTATACTCTGAAATCTATCAACGAACCCATTCATGCTAGAAACTCCAGTGATGGTCAACTTTGCCTCCTGTGCTCTGTAACAACCTTTCACACCTTTCTAACACGGGCATTCTAGAACTCATCCACCAAAAGTCCCTTTCCTCTTTCCTTTACCCTGAAGGTATTTGTGGTCTGATGGCTCTGCCAGGCTTTCCTGTCTTACCCAGAATTTTTTCTTACAGATGTTTCTTCTCATAAAATCTTTGCATTTATAATCCTCAATTGCCACCTTTTTCTTAAAGACTACTCTCACAATTCCTAATTCTCTCCTTTCTTGGGTCCAGACAGGTTCTAAGCCTGACACAGGGGCTGAGCAAGTAGGAAGCGTCAAGTATCCCCATAGTGGGAGACATGAGAAGGGCAGGTCCTGGGAGCAGGTGGGTGGGGCCCAGCTGCTTACAGTAGTGCAATAGTCTCTCCTTTTGTCCCAGGTTCTAATTACCTTCATTAAGAATTTGCAACAACATGGATGGACCTTGAAATAATCATATTAAGTGAAATAAGTCAGACAGAAAATGTTGAAAATCACATGATATCACTTATATGTGGGATATAAACCTTATAGCAACAAATGAACAGGACAAACAGAGACTCATGGACATGAACAATGGACTAGTGGTTACCAGAGGATGGGGTAGGGAGGATAAATAAAAAGTTAAACAAACAAACAAACAAACAAACAAACAAATAAATAAATAAAAAGTTAAAAAAAGAAGCTCTTCGTGCATTTCTAGGGAGGCTAATGTATTCATGTAATAATTCCCTTTTCTTTCTCTCTCTTTCTATACAGAGAAAGTGGTAGCAAATTCAATTTGGCTCCTTATGGTAAATGCTGACCTTTGATGAGAGTTATATATTCCTAGGGATTCTATGTGATACCATTTTTACAGTGGATGCTACAGCGAATTAAGAGTTTTTGATGTCAGGGTCTTATATTTTTAGAAAGCTCAGGTGAATCCTCCTATTGGACACAAGATGGAATATTGTACATTCAACATTCTTTCCAATTCTAAGATCCTGGGATTTCTGTGTTTTTATTTTATTTTTTTTTGTGCAATCATTCAATGAGAGTTTGAAAGACTAATATCCTTATTGTATATTCGATAACATTTAACCTAATGCAATTAAAATCCTAAATATTTTGCTTAATAAAATATTAAATGGTATTATATTTATGAAAATCCTCTATTTCTTTGGTTGAGTAGTGAGTTAACACAAATGTGTACTTTTGGTAATTATAAGTAAAATAAAGTAAGTAAAAAGTTAATTTCCAAATATTGCATTTCTTGGGTATTAATAAAAGGTAGAGACAACTGAGATCTTCTCTTTCCTAAAGTATTGGAAACTTAGGTTGTTGAGTTTGAGAACTTGGAATTTCTGACAAGCACTCAGATCAATATTATGGTCAGGAAACCTGACAATACTAACTTGGACTCTAGGATTTGTCTAAAGTTGAATGTACTAAAGAATCTATACAAAGACAATGTAAAATTTACGAGGTTTGGAAGAAAGCTTTCATATTTTTCTTTCTCACTTACAAGTCAGTCAAGATGCATAAGGATGATCCTTAACTTA